GGGGGGGGGCAGGTTCGTAACGTTCTGCCACAAAGAAAGAGTTTCAAGATTTCAAGCATTGAAGCGTCGTCGTTCTAGGGGGAACACCTGCGCGAAGAAGCCCGATTCCGCCAAATTTCTTCATCCTTGGTCGACCCTGTTATACGGTATCTGGCAAGCGGCCGACGGCATTGCGTTTCAAACCGAAACGACTACAGGCCGCCCTCTCTCCTTCGTGTCTCGGAGCGTGTCTCTCTCTCTCTCGTTTCGCGACGTTGCCGGGCCTCTGCCGGCCGTTTACGTGCTACCGGCCGGCAACGTCGCATCTTCAATATCCTCTCGCACAGCAAAACGACCGACCGAGTCGCGGCAGCTTGGTAAACGGACCGCTCCGTATACTTGCCCCGATCATCGTTCTACGAACTCGTACGCCGGTTAGTCGCTCGTCTGTCGCTTCGTTCGATCTTGATACGTACCGAGATATTTTTCTTTTTTGCTGCAGAGTGTTGGCAGAATTTGTTTGCCTTTCCGAAAACTATAGTCATCTCTCGTGGCAATTGTTGGCAAAACTGCGACAGTTTAGCGTTTCGTAGAGATATGTAGGCTCGCGCGAGTGGATGATGCAAAAGCTAGCATATATGCATATACTGTGTATGTTTTCTTTTTATTGACGATCTGAGATAGGAATATAGATATAAAAGACAAAGTAACATCGTAACGACGACACTTTGGATTTACGTTAATAATTAACGTACGTTGCCATATTGCTGGAAGGGGAACGAAACTAGTCGTTCTTTGGTTAAATGCAAAACAGAATCGTATGGTCGTTGTTATTAATCGGAATAGTTTATAAATAAGTCAAGCACGATTGATATGCACGCCCCTCGTTTACACGAGGGGATATACATATTGTAACGTGCGTTATATACACATACGTATATACACGACTATGTTCTCCAAGGGCTCTTGGTCACATAGAACAGAACACACGACTGACTTTCACAGGCCACAAGACGCCAGAGTTCAAAAAGGAGGCGGACGGCTACGATCCGTTCTGAAAACATTGGCGGAATTTTGCAGCGAATGCCAACGCTCTCTTGTTCCCTACGTTTGTACGATATTCTCTCTTTTTACAGGTGTTGAACTATTTATAACGTCGCGTGATAGCATATTTGATAACAGAAATTTGAAAAATACGTATTCCTTGTTTAATAAACTGTTCGTTAAGAACAACGTTGAAATTGCAGAAATACATATATATATATATATTTTTTTTTTGTAATAATTATTGAAATTTCAAAGAGAAAAGAAGAATTTATTTCACAAAGATTGAAAGATTCGCAAAAAACTTATTAAGATTATAGCAATTGCAAAAGTGATATTCTTGCTATACAATTGAAATTCACGACTTGAGTTTTGTCTCATTTTTTACGCGTTGCAGTCGAGAACCGCTAGTTCGATTGAGAGTTGAAATTTCAAGAGTGATTTCTTCTTCCTCGTCCATGTTCCTCGGCAGCATAAAATCGAATGAAGCGAATATACCGTTCAGTGACCCTGTTAAATAGTTGTAAACGCGAGTGCCCTCATTTTTCTTTAAAGAATGCAAGCATTCGCAAGGGTAACGGTACGATGTATTTTTAACATTGCTACGTAATTATATGTCCTTATAATTAAATTGCGATAAAAATACCGATTATATGAAAGCACGCAGTTCTTTCTGTCGAAAAAAAAAAAAAAAAAAAAATCAAAAATCTACAGAAGAAGGAAATATTTTGTATTTTCACCGAGTTACGTGTCTCTTTGTCGCTCTGTCCGTTTTATTTCCTTTTTTCCTCCCTGTTGATTGCTGAATGTTGATCTTTTGCGCGTAACCGTTGCCGAAAATCGAAACACCTGCCCTGTTGAACTTTCTTTCCCTTCTCTCTTGGCAGAGTGCACAACGTCTCGGCGCGTTGTTCGATATTAACAGTTTGCTGTGAGGACTGAAATTACAGTCCGAATGACATACTGAAAGACTCGACAGTGGGAGATTTTCAGCATCATTTATAAATTATCATCTTATATTTTATCTTATATCTGGATAATATTTTCACTTTTTATTATGTTACTAACCATTATTTTATGTTCGATTTACTTTTATTTTATTGACCAATTGACATGCGAAAATTGCCCAATAGAATGGCTCGCGAAATTCAGGGTGCGTAACATTGGCATTTTCGAGGTATTCCTGCGAGATAAATGCCCACGCATACAGTATGGCAGCAATATTATTCCTACGTTTTCGCAGGTAACTAACTTTTGGTAACGGACGTGTAATGGCCTTTGCAGTCGCACGTACACTACGCCGGGAAACGTGCTCGAGTGACCCAGAGGAGGGCTCGCGAGAAATTGTAGATCTGGAATCGATAGAGTTTGCAGCGACGTTGCCAGCACTGCGCACCGCCATCAGGTTGGCAACGCCGCTTCGTCTTGGGGGCCCCAGTCGGAACGTGCGTTTTTGTGAATTTCAAGGACCTAGCTTTCAAAAGATTTAAAAATAATTCCTCCCCACAGGCCCCATGTTGATAATTGTACAGCATTTTTCTTGCGAACTTAGGTTTGGCTCATCCCCCCTCCCCTCTCCCCCCTTTTTCCTTCCTTTTTCTTTTTTTGCTTAGGTCGTTTGTCCCAACTGTCACGGACAGGGTTTAGGTTAGGTTTCACGGGACGCATCCAATGGGAAATTAACGCGTGACGTAGCCACGCCACGAGGTCCCTTTCAAAGCAAAAGAACAAAGGAATCCTTCCCTCCACCAGATTCAGTTGATATTTTTCAAGCACGGAGTAAGTAGAGCGAGGCTCCGTTTGAAAACGCCCGAGGGGCCTGAGGGTAATCCGAGATCCGGAACCAGCCCGAGAGACATCCGGACCCCGAGGTAGGGCCCCGAGAGTTCTCAGGGACAAACGAAATTGCCACAATAAATCAGTCAGACGTCGTTGGCAACCACGGCCCGAGCGGCAAAAGCACACGCGTCTCTGCTGCATCGATTTCTCTCACCGAGAGCACGTATAAATAACCGATCGATACGTACAATTAAACCCATCTTCCACCAACAAAAGCCAAAGTGAGAACTTTCGAAATTACCTCGAAGTTACTTGAAAATCGCGACGAAAATCTTTGTTTATATATCATCTGCGAGGAAACTAAAGCCTTTGTTTATATCACTGCGACGAAAACTAAAATAAAAAAAAGAACTCAAGCTTACGTCGAAATTACCGACAAAACCTTTGCAAGAAACGATTTTCACTGCGACGTCTTTACGTACGTGTGCTCGAGTTCTCTTTTAAAAATCGTCTCCATTAAAAATCTATGCCTCCATAGCGGAATCTACTACGAATACCAAGTTTCAAATCTCCGTGATGTTGCAGATGCAAGCTTCTACGCCTTGTTCCATTCCCCTCAGTTTCACCAACTCGCGTTTAATTACAAGCTTTCACGAGGTTTGAAAAATCGTGGATGCTGGGGCCTCTAGATCCGAGGTTAGCCAGAATCTGCTATGTAGGTAGATAGACAGGTAGGCAAAGGGAAGATGGTAGGCAAGCAAAAGCAGCAGACACAGAGGCAGGTAAAGGCAAGCAAACCGTACCGACATGGATGGTGGTGTACACCAGTTGGAGAGCTCTGCTGGCAACGTCGCACAACACGGCCGCTAGAGTACCGGCAACGGTGCACACGGCTATTATGTAACACCCGGCAACGTCGCCGGGATACGCCGAGGGGCGACGGGAGTGAATACCAGCGGGGAGAATAGGGGCGATGGGGATAGTGAGAATAGAGAGAGACAGAGAGGGTGGTGGGCGTTCGGGGGGACAGTACGCGGTGAAGGGGCGAGAGGAGAGGGAGCATTATACACGGCAGGGAAGGAGAAGGGGCGCGCACATACACGCCAAGGTCCCCACCCTTCGGATTGCTGCTGCGTCACACGAGGCATTGCAACCCCTTGTCCGTATAGCGTATACACTCGAATGTATGTATGCTCAACGTTCGAGGAAACCAACTTGCACCGGGAGGAGAAGGAAGCGGAGGAGGTCGAAATGGGGCTCGGGAAGAACGCGGACGCTTTTTCAGAGAAGGCAGAGCGGTTGTATCCCGAATCTTTCGCACGGCCGGCGAAAAATTTTACCTCTCCGTTCCGAGACCGAATTGGACCTTCGAATTTCCAGGTCAGATCGTCGCTCCCAACCGCCGACTTTCACAGTGCCAACTAGCAAAAATCGAAGATCAACTCGTCGTGCTAAGTTTACCATCGGTAAAAATGAGACTTGCCTGCTGGAGAGAGAACGCACACGGACACGGGGAGACGATAACAACGTAGCGCGATAGGGTTAATCTAACGGGTTATTTGCGATGCACGCACGCTGGTTACGTCACCGCCAGGTTCGTTTCGATTAACACTAGAACTACCACACCAGTCAAAACGACTGGTTTTGCAATTTTATTTTAAAATTTCTATTTCACGTTGCATCTTTTTTCCCGCAATGATGTAATGAATTTTGCAATGATAACTAAAGAAATAATATAATGAATTTTATTTTATTTTTATTTATTAGAAATCCAGATAATTTTGCATCATGGCTACTTATACCAATGCTAATGAAAATGACTGGTACTTGTCTAAAGTGTAAAACGGTCCTACAATTTTGTACGCACGGGGAAAAACAAAAAATTTGGAACTTTCGTGAAATGATTTTACCGAAATACTGAGATTTATTCGCTTTGATAAAAAAAAAAAAAAAAGTGACAAAGTCCAATGTTTACAAACAGATAAATTTGCTTCGATATCAGCTATATAGGATAAGTTTGTACAAAATAGTCAGAGTTGCTAGAACTAAGTGCAAATATTACAATTGACGAACAACTCTTTGCATCTAAAGCCAGATGCAGATTTATATTCAATAAACCTGACAAATCTAGTATTAATTATACTATGTAACATGGGATTTCTTTTGCAAGAAAATAGCAAATCAATAAATATAAAAATATTCTGTTATTTTTTAAAGTCATTTCGACTAGTTTTGGTAGAAATAGCTTCGTCTTAATTGTCGGTAGTTCTAGCGTTAAGAGGCGTGGGTTTCCCATTTACACACGATTCTGTGCTTTTACTGTAGCATGTTCAACGACCGAGGCTATGTAGATGAAGAATCAGTTCACACCGAATTTCGTCGTGTATACCTGGCTTTGATAATCGATCGAAGGAAGCGGCCGATTTTTCGATGATTCTTTCTTACCGACCGACCAATATCGACATTTCGTTTGGCTAGAAAGTTCTCTTTGCGTAACACGTGCATGCAAATGGAAGGATGCTGTCGTCGAAGTGAAACACAAACCACCGAGAGAAAGCGGTGTAAAAACGAGGAAAATGTCGTTAACAATGTACTCACAGATTTGTCAAGGTTTCCATGACAAATGGAAAGAAACGTTGTTGGAGGAAAGGAACGAGAAATGTCATATCATAGAACCGTTAGAAATTTGAGCCTTTAAGCTAGGTAAAATAACTGTTGGAAAGGAAGGAAGGTCGTTGACTAACAAAGAGAGTTGCTAGGCTTTCGGGTTTGCAATTCTGCTGAAACCTTGTATGCTTTTGGATTTCGGTGTCCTGTTTATGAACATATACCATTATATAGGGGCAGACCCTCGACAGATTTTAAGATATATTTGCAATTGTAGTTACCATTATAAATTACAATTGACAGTTGAAATAATTGCCAAGAGGTGGCTCTCCACGGTAATAACCCTCAACTCGTGTTCTTCGATTCTCTCTGATCTTCCCTGAACAATTTTTTCTTTTCTTTGTCAATTAAGCTATTTTCATTTACTACATTTCATACGTAAAAGGGGATATTTCATTCTTAAATCTAATTCTAGCGAATTATTTTTATTCATTTCCTAGATTTTCACCTTATTTGTTGAACGAAGAAACAATGATACGTTATACGCAGAGAATATTTGTATAAAAGATAATGAAAACTTCATCGCCGAAAAGTATAAAAAATAAAATAGTGAACAAAAAGAGATTTGCTCAACCGAGGGCGTGAAAAGCAAAAAATAAAAAAAAAAAAATATGCTACGCACAAACAAAATACTTACAGATTTCTAGAAAAACTCTAAAAATGAGTGTGAAACAAGACAGAGCGAATAAATCGGTCGAAGATTACACATCACGACAACAGCGCCATTGCGGCGTACGTACGAAATTGCAAATTGTAAACTGCAAACAAAATCGTTGCGATTAAACATAGTTTTTCGAAGCATCGATTTTCTATCGAGGACACGAAGCTACGTCACGTTTCTTCGCATATTAATGGGCCAACGGCCTAGAGACGACGAACACGACGTTCTCCTCGACCGAACACCGGTAGACAACGGCACCATTTACGCGTTTTTTTATTATCTGTTTGGAAGTAAAACGCTAAATACGGGCCGTTCACCGTTAACACTCTGCTGTCGGGCAATTTTTCGGCAAATTCACTTTGCTGTCGGGTTTGGGCAAATTTATGAAAACACGTTAAATTTATAAAAACTCTGCCATTCTATATCGTCGAATAGCTACTGCAGCAATAAAGCAACCTAACCTAAACCTCAATAGTAAGCTAATCACATTATGCACTCGAAGCATTTTTTTACTACGAAGTAAAAGATTACCAAAAAAAAAAAAATTCCGGCAAAAATAGGTTGAAGAGATATTTGCTATTGTGAGAAAGTCACATGAGACACGTGCATCCTATGAAAACTGAGACAACAATCAGCCGCCGGAACGGCGATACATTTTACAGTCCTGTCAAGTTTTCCCCCAGTCGAGTCTTTCAGTGTGCTTCGGACTGTAGCTCGAGAAAGCGAAATAAGGTGAGTCGGGTAGTACATGCGCGTAGGTATAATATAATATAATAGCGCCTTGGAAACTCCAACCATTCATAAATTACGATGTTCGAACTGAAAGTATATTGAAACACTGTGTTTCAATGAAACAAACTTGTATAGCCCAGCTTACCCTTGTTTTTGCCAATCATCTCTCGAATTTATGTCTGCCTCGTTAATTTAAACGCAACCAAAATATATTACCAGCTTAGTCGGAATAAGTATGCTCGAAATCTTGAAATTACACGCCGTAAAACGCGTTGTAGAGATCTCATCAGCTATTCAAGGAGTTTTGCAAAAGAGGCACACGATTATACTAATGATTAACATTTTATAAATCGAATCTTCTTGCAATCTGTATTACTTTTTCAATTATTTATAGACAAGCTTTCTAACCCATTCGCGTGGCAGCCATTTGTATATTTTGTGGACAAAATGCACTTAGGTTAGGTTTAAGTTAGGTTTTGTAAAAGAGGCACACGATTATGCTAATGATTAACATTTTATAAATGGAATCTTCTCGCAACCTGTATTACTTTTTCAGTTATTCAGACAGGCTTTCTAACCTATTCGCGCGGCAGCCATTTGTATATTTTGTGGACAAAATGCACTTAGGTTAGGTTCTGTAAAAGAGGCACACGATTATACTAATGATTAACATTTTATAAATAGAATCTTCTTGCAACCTGTATTACTTTTTCAATTATTTATAGGCAGGTTTTTTAACCCATTCGTGAGGCAGCCATTTGTATATTTTGTGGACAAAATACACTTAGGCAATGCGGTGTAGAAACGATTCAAAAAAACACTGAAAAGCTGACTAGATTATATGGCGGTATGGTAGCAAAGAGAAAAGTAAAAAATATAACGTGTTACTATTATATATAATATTTGTTTATAAATTTTCCAAAAAAAACTTTACTAAACAAACAAAGAATTGTATATATATATATGTATTAATAGTTTATTACTGTATATGTATATATAATTAATATCTATATAATTGTACATATATATATATGTATTAATAGTTTATTTATGATATTCTTTAATTGTTTATGATATTCTTTAATAGTTTGTTTATGAGATTCTTTTTAAAACATTCTGGAATGTGTAAAGCTATCAAACAAAGTTCACATTCCCAAGTAGTTTCACTCCTCTTTTTGTATTTCTTCTTTTTGTACTTTTCACTATTTAGCATCTGTGCTGCATATCTATTTGTCTCAACAGCTAACGCATTCCAATAATCATCCGTTAATGTTAGATGGAATAAATATATTACAGTGAGACTATCTCCTAATTTTTCCAAAAATAAAAGGTTTATACTTGGTGAAGATAAAACTTTTCAGATTATTACCTTTGGGAACCCAATTCCAATTATATTAGCGTTATTTTCACTTGTCGAAGTTCCATTTGTTTCAATTGCATCCTCGTTATCAAAATCTTCGGAAGACGTACGTCTAAAATGTTTTTTCTGCCTTTGAAAAAAAAATCTGTTCATCGCTATGTCGCTATGACTACACTTTTCAAAAATTATTTTTCGCCCGTGCTTAATTGCAAACAAAATTATTTCATAATTAATTAAAACGGTGAAACGTATTTCGTATAATTATATAGAATAATTATTATCCGAAATCAATGGCGATACAACACAGCGTTGTATCCCGACTATTAACTTGCACACGTTAATGCATATTATTGCCACGAAAAATACACCACGAGTCTGACTCGTTATTCTACGCGAATATGGATTAACAACGGATTAAGCATTTAATTTCCAGAAATATCTTAAGCTGTTTTCCTCTACCTCTCACCCGACGAAACCCGATCCCAGTGTGATGATAAAAGAACCAATGGTTAATATGTTATTTGTTTGATCAGAGGAAGGAATAAAAAGGACATTGGAGGTTGAAAAAGCAGGCAGCAATTAGCAAGCACGAGAGCGAGACAAATCGAGAGAGAACCGCCTCTTCCTGCAGCGTTTTTAGGCCGGTCGTCTCCGTCTGTTGTTTTATAGTTCAACGACTCCTTTGCCAGTACCTCTGCCACCTCCGCACTCTGCCATTGCCGCCACAACCACCACTACCACCACCTCTTGGTTCACCTTCTCATTGTCGAGGCCTCTTTGTGCACGGTGAAACGGACAAACAGAACGAAGCAGCAGCCACGTATGATCGAGTGGTTGCCGCGGAATAATCGCGCGAATACGGAAGAAAGTGTACATACAACCGCGCCGGAGCGCCCTCCCCGAAACGATAAATATTCATAAGGAACGCCAGTGGTAAGGCTCCCTCTAACGAGAGAAACTCTCAGCGTGGTATCCTTGTTCCGAGTTGGAACGCGACGTGTTTAGGAAGTCGGTCGCTAAATGATAAAGTTGAATCGTCTCTCCACTATTATTTATCTCGACACGAATCTCTTTCTCTTCTTCTCGTATCAAACACGCGATAGGCTCGTCCTTCTGAACTACGATATGTCTCGAAAAAATTTTTGCTCAATAGATACGTCGAAACAAAAAAAGAAAACTTTGTACAGATGTGCATTAATTGGGGAAAAAATTCTGCTATCGTGAAAACGATGATTTGTGTTAAAACTAAATGAAAAATTCTTACATATATGCATATATACTTATGTATATTGTACTTTTATATATATATATATAAAGTAATAATTATATTATAAAATTATAATAATTTTGTATATATTATAGTATATTTTATATAAATTATTTTTTAATTATACTTTTATATATATATAAGAACAATATATATATATATACATACATCACATATCATATGAAATTATTTATCTCATATATATATATATATCGTATATATATATCGTATGAAATTTTGTTTTTTTTTTCACACACAAAGAACTTGTATTAGAAATTTTTGACCAATGTTCCAGGTGCCCAACATTCGAATTTTATTTGCACCACATTTTTAGGTCCGTCACGTTTCCGAGCACGTAGTATCACCTACATAAATAACTCGGTTTTCTCTTTGTTCGCCCATTTCCGCAGTTCCACGCGCACACGCGGTCATTTTTTCGCAGCGAGGAACAGAACGCAGAGATTTCTAGTCCGCTAAACTAGAAATGCCTTTGCGCCGGTACGGTGACTAGGGTCAACTCTCGCGATCCCCTTTCGCATTGCTGGTCGCCCCCTTCTTTTCTCCCATCCCCTCTCTGTCTGTCTATGTGCCCGTCTGACGTACCTTTGCTCGTAAAGGTTAAATGTATTTGGCTCGAGAAACGGGCAAGAGGAACAAGAAAACGGCGCAACTGAGAAAACGAGAGAGAGAGAGAGGGGGGGGGGAGAAAAGACGATGATAACCCTTCTTTCTCCACCTGCAACGGCTTTTGCTATGTATTATTTCTATATAGAATAATCGTCGCTACGTGTAAATACACGTAGTATACGTAGTATACGTGTATATATGTGGTACGAAGACAGTATTTTACTGTACACTCACCTTTCGGATGTGTATATCGACAGAGAGAAGCTTGCTTTCCTGGCTCGACTGTAGCGCTCGACCGTACGAGCCTCGTTCCTACTACCGGCTGGCCGTGACACACTTATTCCATCGGCAAGAGAGCAAAGTGGCAGCCATCGCGAAAATCTCGCCGTTTTTCAATCAACTATAGATTGGCTCCTCGGTCGAATCTTTTAAAAACCGTGATTTGTTCCATTATTTTCTTCTCTCTATGAAATGTATTATCACTTGAGCTTCCGCCATTTTCCCCGTTTAACCGTCCGTCGCTATCCCCACCAATTCTTAGAATCGGGCCCGTCTCACTCTACCTTACCGTGCGATCTACCGAAGGCCGTGTGAAACTTGACACTTGTACTATACAAAACGAGTGACACTTGATACCGTTTTTTTTCGGCACAATTCGCAGAATACGCTTCCCTGCTTGAGCGTTCGCTTTCAGTACCTATTATGTATACATCCTGTGTGTATGCTTCTCCGTTCCCCTTTTTATCTGACATTGCTAACCAAAGGCAAAAGCAAGGACCATCACATCCTTTGCATCGTTATTTTTCCAAGCACTTGACACTTCAAATTGCCGTGACTCGCCGATATATTTAAAAAACTGTTGCACTGGAAAAAAGGGTGCTACGCGGATCTTGCGAGGCTTGCGTAGCGAGTAGAGCGACACAGACGCGTGTGCCTGTGTAGGTAAGGTACATATCCGGCTCTCTCAAGGCGTCGATTGATCGTGTTGCCGTGACATTTTTGTTTTGCTCAAGTTTCGCTTTTAACTGGTCAGGTGTAGAAACAAGCCAGGCGGCGATCGTGCAAATTTTCAAAGTCGTGCCTGCCGGGGCTCGCTCGGGGTTTCACTCGATAAGGGGTTTGCGCGTATCGCAACAACACGCCCTTTAACGGACCTTAAGAGGAAAATATATGCGAGAAACGGGCGTCACATCGAGCGTAAATTATTCGACGTGATATCGCGACAAAAAGTTTTCGCCGGTCGAGAATAATTCGTCTAACCTAGTCTGACAAAGTTGGGCAGAGGCTATACCATCCGAGTTGCCTTGTTTTTTCCAACGATCGCATTTTAAAGGTACTTTTGCGTCCTTACTTTCAAGAGTATCTCCCCTTTACTTTGAAGGCTTAATACGCGTCAGACACACGCGTTTCGAGGCAGCCTTCTACACGCGAGGAATCGATCAAACGATTCAGCCACGTATTCCGCTAACGATCGGAAAATGCACATTACCTTTTTTTTCTTAATATTGTTTTTTTAATGTTGTCTGTTATTCTTCAGGCAAATGCGTTGCACAGTTTGTGGTGAATTGACTTCACTTTTCTTTCCCGATTCTTCCTTATCTCGCAATCGATGATCACCGATTCTCATTTCTTCACTTGCTTGCAAACTGTGAACTCTGCGTCACGTCGTTACAAATAATGTTGCGCGTTATTTCGTGCTCAAATATTTCTATTGTCAATCGCGAGTATTTGTTCTTCAGCCATCTGTCGATCTGGATGAATCAAGTTACCGTCATTCTGGGCCATCGATCAGTTTTAGTCGTGACTATCGTTTACTCGATGTAAATCGATCTTTATAATTAACCAGTAATTATGTGTTTACATGCTGACTGAACTCATATGTTGCGTTACATATTCCAAATTTGATATTATCTCTTTGCCTCGATATATCCTGAGTCATTTTTCGAGGAGGCAAAATGTTGGATCACAAATATGCACGTAGATATTTTTATACGTATATAGTGTATTTAGTTAATCGATTCATCGAATAAAAAATCTGAAGTCGATTCGGACATTTGTTAATGCCCGAGTTTATCGATTTTTTTTCTTTTTTTTTTTTGTTTGTTTTAAACATTGAACACCGTCTGGGTGCATTTGCTGTTTATAATCTTTGCGGAGAAATTTTGGCGCTCGTGCAAAACACCACGGACAGTGGGAGGTTGCTGAACAGGGATTCGACAGCGCTTTTAACGCAAGGTCAATAACATCTACGTTGCTGCGCATTATTACGCACACCTACGAATACACTTGTGCACACGCCATTACTTGTGATCATCGACCGCGAGTCACAGAGGAAAAAGAGCGAACGACAGACATCGCTCTTCTTCCTTCTCTTTCTTTCTCGTGCCAGCGTGTCACGCAGACTATTCATTATGCCGGTTTCACGCGTGCGTTAATCGACATTCATTTCTTTTTTTTTTTTTTTTTCAATCTTTGCGACTTGGAAGGTGTGCCTTCACTGTTACCTTGTTTTTTAAAATTCTTTAAATGAAACTTTAATTTATTCGTTTTTTTCAATTTCAGAACTTTAATTTATTCCGAGTTTATTCTAATGTGATTATGTAGCGTAAAGCAGAATCTAAATTTCATCGTTATACTTTTTTTTCACAATTTACATCAAGCAATGCACCTTGGAGTGGAAGAAAATTTCGCTAAGAGGTTAAGCAGTGAATCGAACGTTCCCAAACTCCTTTGAACACACTGCATACACTGTATGATCTGTGCATAGTACAGGGTGTCCCAAAAATGAGTCGAAGAAAAGGAATAAAATTTTTCATTAAATTGAACTCGATTTTCTCAAAAAATATTGATGAAGAATATTTTAATGATTCGAGTGGAAGTCTTTCTCATTCTTAGAATCACCTACAGCAGGGCTTTCCATATGGAAGTCGCAGAAATTTTAGCAAAAGTGAAAAATTAGTATGAATATTTAGCTTTGTCTTTAATACACCGATAAAATTTTCTATACGATGTATTTTCAGCAAATGTTTGAACTCGTTTTCCTAGTTTACGTATCTCTTATACCCAGCGTCGCGAAAATTTTATTTATTAGGGCAAAGTTTGAGAACCCCTGACCTAGAAGTAGTAGCACTATTTACGGGACACCCTATATATATGCCGAGCACAGTACGACGAGGCAAAGTGTAAAACCATTGGGTCAACGATTTTTGTTTTACGTTGGAAAAAATATGTAGCTGATCGGCAAGAGTGCGAGACGATTCCACGCAAGCATCGGTGTCTCGATTGGGAGGTGGCTAACGCCACGGAATCGCTGATTCTAGCAATGACGTGATTTCTGCAATGATTTTTAGTTAGCAACACCACACGTCGACAGCACGTTGCACCGCGCCACGTCGCACCGTGCTTACGTAACACGCGCCCATCGTTCGCTCTTGTTGGCCAAGCGTGCGCGCCTTAACGCTAGATCTGCCGACGATCGAAGTGTATATAAAATTTATGGCGGAGAAATGAGAATGAAAGGGACAGGAAGAAAATTTACAACAAAGGGCACAAGCTTCTTCTGTTTATATATTTTGCCAAAAAGATCACTCGAATCTCTGAAGCTTTCTATCTATCCAGGATCGTGTTTTAATTTTCTGTTTGAAAGAGGTTATGTTTTATTTAAAATGTATTAAATGGATAACAAAATTACCAAAAGGTCGATCGATAAAACGATTAAAATTCTCAGCCCAAAACTCGAAGCTAGGTGAAATTGATTGATCATCGCATTGATAAAGGGGTTTCAAATTATTTCAATTGCAAGCGACTTGAAGTCAAGTGACGGGGCGAGCGTTGAGAAGCTTCAAGAAATATACAGGGTGTCCGCGTTTCAAGATCGAACTTCGCCAGTATTCTACGTCGTAGTCTACCTTAATTTCTTTGTGTTCTTTCTTCAATTTTGAATTTTTTCTTTCAAATTTTCTAATTACTGTAAATACGTATCTATATATATATATATATTTTTTTTTCTTTCAGAATTCTTATATTTCTTTTTCAAACATAATCAAACTTATTAATTTGACTCGGCCATACATGCAAACTTATTTATTTAAATTCTATATATTTTCATTGCAACTTTTCTATAAAGCTTTCGTGGATCTACGTTTATGCAATATTTTTCTCTTATTTCTATCTATGTAGAAAACACACTGGCGAAGTTTGATCACTTAAATCTTGTATACTGGTCTACTGACACCATGTATAAGTAGTTGGAGTCCAACTAAAGCAACGAGTTGGTGAAGCACTTTCGAATTACATCAATTCAAATTGATTTAAATTCAACTAACGCGACTAATCACGTAATTGTCCATAACCTCTCCGCTCCCTGCCCTTTAGCTACAATTTTAATTCGTCTTTGAATCTTCGGAGAAAGAAATTGAAATTCGCGCGAGACTTGATCTCTTCGTTTTAAACGTAAAAAGATGTGACTGTAAAAAATTCGAGATCGTATCTCGAAGCAAGAGAGGGGGAGAGAGCTTCCCTCGCGTCTGATCTCGTCCATTTTCTCAGAAGAAGAATCTCTAGTTTCTGATCCTCGAGTTGCAGTCGGTGAAAGAAAAAAATGCCAAATGTCGCTGTTGATTACGATTATACTTCTTGTCTGTGTTCTGTTAATTATTATTGTACGTTTGTCGTCGTTTCGGTCGATGGCCTGGACGAACGATCGTTGCCTATTTACCGGTGGTTCAACGATCGTAAATGACCGCCTTACCGGCTAATGTTAACATCTTACTGTTAACATCTTGCGCTGGAATGACGTGTCCGGCACGTCGAGAATTTTTTTGTCCCAAAATTGCAATATTTTCTCAGTTTTAAGTGTATTTAAATATAACCCAAGCAAAACAAATAATAAATTTATTGCTTCTTAGTAATTTATTAATTTCTATCCAGTGATATCATACCGACGAGTTCAAGAAGAAAGTGGCGAATTATTGTTTGGTCACTCGTTATGGTCCACGAACCAGCTGCCAGCGCAAGGGTTAGGTTAAACAGTACAACGGAAGTTATTTATAGAAGCCCCTCGAGACTCGTGACAACGAACCTCCAGATTCTACCTGCAAATGTTTTTCCCATTTTTCAGCGCGAAATGCATCACACGTTCTTCGATACGTTTTGTTAATAATCGGCCAGTTATTTTGTGCGATTGCTTTCGCGTTTACAGAGATGTTCTCCTCTGTTCTCCTCAAGATGTCTGTATCGTCACGTCGAAAATTGAACGTTCGCCGAGCTTTACTTTACTCTCCAATGTTTCTACTTCACGTTAAAAAGAATTTCTGCAAATTCGCTGGAAAAAATTCGAAAAATCCGCGGAAAGCAAATCTCCCAGTTTAAAGCGAAACTTTAATCGTTACCTCCTTTTGCTCGCACACGAACCAGTGCGTCTCGATGACAAAGTTCTCCGGCTAGGTCAAACGTAGTAATGAGTACTTTATACTTTGGGGAGACAAATATTCTCCAAGGTCCAAGTATACGACAATGTTGATGCCAACATTATATTTAACACATTTACGGCGGGCGTCACGTATATGCTTGACTTTAATTGATTAACAAAAATATTAATATAAATAAATAAAACAAATAAATGTCTGTTTAAATGTCAACGTTTAAAATAACCATATCAAAATATTCTACATAAAATCATTATAATTTAAATGATAACTAAAATAAATACAATTTATACACCTGTGTTTCTGCCCAGCCAGAGGCTAATAATTATTAATATTGACAAGAATTATCCGTATTTTTCAAGCGCTAGAAAAACGAAAGTCTGAGGTCCAGTCAGATTGACAGAGATTCAATTGTCATACAGTGTTACAAAATAATAAAATTGTACACTTTAATGCATATAATTTATATATAAAACAATGTACAATTTTATTGTTTTGTAATACTGTAACATATATAAATAATTGTATTTTATGTATTCTAAGTAATTGTCTTTGTATATATAATATATAATATGTCTTTATAATTTTAATTATATATTATACATGTAAAAAAAATTATTTGTAATACATAAAATGCATATATTATACATATATATAAAATATATAAAATTCCTGCAGTGATATTTCTAATAAATAATACATGCTTCTTGCACGCAACTGTCGTTTCAAACATCCCGCCGAGAAAGTGTGAACACGTTCCGGTCGGTAAAAAAGCTGCCGTACGATTTTTTGTTCGACCGCTCCATCCTAGTGCACCGTGTGGGGGAGGGGCGGGGAAAAAAAAGAAGTTCACTTCCGATAGCTAGCATGAACTGTAGATGAAACGTGTGTTAAGGCGACTCACGCGACTGTAATTTTCCAAGAAGTGACCGAAGAAAAAACTAAGTGATAAGCGTTATTTTAGAAGGCGGCAGGTACGAGTACCGCTCCATCGCCCTCTCCGGTAATATAGAATTACGTAATCTCGCTCAAAGAAAAAAACGTACCACAGTTCCAAGGTATAGAGTACACAGGGGCGATATGTAATCTTTTTTCCTCCTTTTTTTTCTTCTTTTCTTTTTCTGGACCAATTATTATTTTTTTCTTTTTTCTCCTCCTACCTTTATCGTATGAGAAATGGAAGCGTAAATGGTTAGCGTGACTGAGATCAGGCGAAGAAGTATAAAAAAAATTGATCGCACGATCAACTTTTTTTTAAACGTCATTGTCGCTCTTACGTGAAAACGGAAGCTTCTTTTCGTTAGAGCCAC